GATCCGTCTGGGACTGATTGTAGACATGTCCGAAATGTCAATTAGGAAAGGTGCACCCAAGTATTGAAGTCTCCTTCTACAGAGAGCCGCACAGGAGCAGAACAGGTGTTCCACAGTCTCCTCCTCGTCCTCATCTCTACAGCTCCGACAGAAGTCGTTATAGGGGGCACCCAGCCTGTTAGCATGGGTGCCTATTAGCCAATGTCCCGTAAGGGAGCGTATGACTGAGCTGCACCTGCTCCTACTGAGTTTGCAAAGCTCATCGGTGCGCTTCCTAGTAATGTTAGGCCATATTTGCCGAGTTATGCGACATAGTGGCACTGTTTGCCATCTGTCATTTATTAGTTTCTTAAAATGTTCTTTTATTTTGAGCTTGCAGGTGGCCATTGGCATACGAATATCCTCCTTATCATGGAGAAGGGGGATTGTTGTACCAGCTCTGGCCAGCTCGTCTGCTATACAGTTGCCTTCATGCTACATCTACTACGAAATCAAACGTCAATTGTCGACTCCACAATGAACGTGATTAGGAAGGATAAGTCAGCCATGGACAACCGCCTAAAGGTATTGGAACAACAAGTGACAACCATCAGCCGAGAAAGAGGAACATATCACGGCGATCATCTAATTCAGTCATACCTAGGGCTCACAGCACAACTAACTCTGCTGACAACGAGTCTTCAACGTATGCAGTCTGAACTAGCAACTAGACCAAATCCGGGATCACTTGCCAGCTGATCAAATGCTGCCTGTCACAACACAAAATGTGATACAATTATACAGGCTCATGCGAGCCGAAGGAACTCTGACTGCCACACACGTCATTTTCAAGGTGACACTACCGTTAGTTTCAACAGTTCAGCTCGAAGTTTTCAGTATCATGCCGATTCCGGTCTGGGACTCAACAAGTTGGAGCTTGTTCAATCTCAAAACGACCATAATCACTGTGAACACTCTCCGAGATCAATTCATGGGATTTACTCCAGAAGAATTTCGACGATGCTTTAAACTACTCAACGCAGAATACATCTGCTTTGATCATCAAACAGTCTTCAATGTCGATAATCGCTGTGAGTTTCAGTTGTTTAACAATAAAACAGCACCTTTATGTGAAGTGACCCACACGAAGGCGGACATGGTGTGGTCCAAAACTCAGCAAGCAAATAAATGGATTTTTGCAACACACTCTACAACAGGGGTCGGCACACAGACTCACACATTTTTTTGGTGCGTTTGTGTGCGAAAACAACAGACACGAAGTCAAATACGTTACTTATTTCTCTGCCGCTGCGAAAGCCGAAGAATTGTGCATAGGGCACACGAATGCTTCTCTGCCGCTGAGGCAAGCGGGCAGAATATGAAGCCGTTTGTGCATAGGCCGAAGCATGTTTCTCTGCCGCGACGTCAGCAGAGCAGAATTTTCTCTGCTGGTACGTCATCAGGCAGAATAACGAAACCACACGAAGTCTTTACGCTGTACGTGTGCCGACTGCGCTGCCCGAAATTTTTTCCTATGCACAGTGCATACGACGCTGCCGACCTCTGCTCTACAATGAGACTTCAGGCAGTTTGCAACGGGTCTCCGTCAGCCATACAACTGGAAGGAACTGGCTTGCTCTCATTGTCACCTGGATGCAATGCTCTCAATACAGAAATAAGCATCAGTACCTTCAGCACAACAATCAGTGAAGTTAAATCAACCTACACTCGATTTGGGGACATACGCTTACCAACGACACCCCCTTCGCCAGAAACTGTACAATTGGAGAACCAGACATCAGACTATCTTCAAGAATTGGAAGATTAACGCAAGCAATTAGTGGCAATCAATCAACAAAGGCTGCCACACCATCTCAACACAGTGCAGCATCATCAAATCGCTACTTCTGCTGCCCAAGCAATATCAATGCTATTGATTATTGCGTTCATACTCCGAAAGAAGTATCAATCATGGAACCCAAGGCCGTCAACAATCAACCAAGCAGAGCCACGCGGATCATCAACCCCGATCCCCATTCCACACCGCTTTTCAGTCGACTTGGGCGATGGTTGAACACCAGTTCAACGGCCGGGAGAATGTTCAGTCGCATATTTATGCATTAATTAATATTACATAATATACACTTATCGAATAAGTCAGGTCGACCCATGTAACGGGAGACATAATAACAAACGACAAAGCATTGTAGCTGAGTCAACAATAACCGCTTCTGCAGCAATTTCTGCCAACGATGCGATCGCTCTTCAGAGGGCAAAAACACTGTTGCAATTGCTGACTATCACAATTGCCCAATAACACAATATCACATTAAATCCAAATTAATTCAATATTAATTCCAATTCCCTTTTACCATATTCTTACTAGACTCAGCACTTTCTGTACTTTTTGTTACCTATAAATAGAAATTAAGTTTGTTGAATAAAATCAGTATCAGAAACAGTATCATCACTGCCTGTTCACTCATTCTCTACAACTGCAATAAACAGAGGCTGTCGCCGTGTCTTCAGACCCTCATTTGCTCGACGTAGGAAACCTTCTCCGCAGTCCAACTGGTTCAAGTTCTAGTTGCGACGACAAATTTGTAAACGGTTTATGTACCGTATGCATACCAAATCACACACACAAACACACATTAACAGATGTAAAATATACATGGTATATGTAGATGTGGATAGCAGATGTAGCAAAAAAATTTAAAATGTAAATTTTTTTTTTATTCTAATATCCTAAAAATTATATGCTCAAAAATGTAAATACTGACTGAGTACGGGTATAAATAGAGTCGCGTCCCCAGAAACGACTCACACGTTCCTTCTCGTTTCTATCTATTATCGTGTGCCTTAAAGAAGTTTGCATGCAAAATTGGTGCCGCTCCATTGCCAATGTCAATTTGCATACCAATTGCAGCCCTCACCCCCCGAATGTCAAAAAATGTGAAAGTTTAATATTGTAGTGAACCCATGCGTGTACATATGTAACACTCTGTTATATATATAAATACATATATAAGCGCGTACATATGAGCAGTGACATAAACAACTTATGTTTATGTTACGCATTCCTTTTGCACAGCAACGATTTACGACTTGAACGCAGATAGGTCAGCTACCAAAACTGCTGAGCAGGCATTTACCCGAACTCAGGCAGAACCCAAACGACTTAACACTGAGGCGATGGGTATCCCTCTCAAAAGCCCCTTAACGCTGATCATGCATTTCCATTAGACTCAGGCAGAGACCACGCGCACTAATACTTATGCGGTGGTACTCTTTTCATATAATGCATGGGAGAACTCTCGCTCTCTGTTATACATAAGAACGATTTACCCTAGGACCAAATTATATTCAATTATCATTCTCAATCAATCAACCAAATGAAGCAGTCGTGCTTGCTCTGTGTACTTCTAATATAACAATGGAAAACTAACATAACATGCCGACCGTGACAAATTCGACACTGCTCGATTAAAACAACTTAATAATTTTAACATCTTAACCAAATCATATTAAAGGCTGTGGTGTGACTGCTGCATAAATACAATGATGAATAACTGGCCCCAAAATAATATGTTGACCTCGTCATTTGAGAGCTTTGGTTACTTGGTTTTGCTATGGTGGGGGCCAGTTATAAAATTTTGGCCCGCGCTTTTCCGTCGATTGGCCGCGCGTGTGCTGAGTTCTCGGTTTTCTTTCTTTCTTCGGTCGATGTCTTTCGATCCGTGCTGCGTCTTCGGATTTGTTGGTGTTGATATATTCTCCTTGGTTTATCGTTGGTGGCTCCGACTGCTTGTGACGAACCATGGGATCCAACGTTCGTTACAACATGCATATGTGAAGAGGGTCTAATGTGTGTGTTAAACTTTGTTATGCCTTTCAGGCCTTGTTTAATAATTAAACAATAAAGAGCGAAAGAGCGAACGAACGGAATTAACAGAGCGCTTAAGCGCTCACTAAGTGCAAACACACACACACTTATATACATACATATGTACATGCATAAATTGTTAATTCTGTGCACAAGTTTAATGAGTCGTTGGTATGAAAATTTCAAATTTATTACAGGCCCAGCACCCAGTCTCAGCGCCAGTCCCAGTCTGCGTCCCCAGCTCAATAAATTTTGGGGGCTTGCGTGCCCGAACTTGAGAGCCTCAGGAAGTTTTTGCCTCTTTGGCCAACCCACACTAAACCCAACCCAACCCATCCCACCCCTGGATGAGAAATTGATTTATGTTAATTAAATGTGACAAAAGTTGAGAAACTTTTACTGGCTTTTTGCCTCTGGCTCTGGCTGTGGCGGTGGCTGAGTGGCTCTCCTTTGTGTCCTCCGCTGCACACAATTTTTATTTGGCCATGTTGGGGTTAATTTTTTGCCACCTTCCCTTCCACCTCCTCCGCCACTATAATGTGCGATATTTTCGATTGCGATCATCAGGCCAAAATGTTGCATAGCAAAACTTTGTTCACTTTTAATTATAAATAGAATCGAATCCGCAAGCTGTCGAAGTTTTATCTATGCCCTGATATCCCTGTCTACAGCGGGGTGGGGGGCTCCAGTGGGTGGCTCCAGTGGGTGGCTCCAGTGGGTGCCTACAGCGGGGGGGAATGGCCTGCTGCACTGCCAGCACAGAGCCCAGAGCCCATCCCTAGAATGTCGACTTGGATATGGACTTCCTGCTCCTGCTGCTGCTCCCCACCAGGGAAAAGTTTATGCAACGTTTGGCCGTCGGCAAGTGGATGAGGGTGGTGGGAAGTGAGTGAGAGTCGGAAGCGGAAAGCTGAGACTCAAAAAAGGAGTTGCAGCTCGCACTGCTTCCGGTCCGTTGCCAGGATTAGCAACATTTTCTTTTGCTGTCAACTTATATCTTTTCCCATCAAGTTTCCATTCTCAAACTTTATCGATATCGATAACGATGCTGCAATGAGCTGTCACCTGCTCCTTCCACCATACCTGACTTCAAGTCCACTCTAGACTGCAAGATCTGCAAGACTGCAGGATGAGAATGAAGACTGTTGAGGCCGCAGAGGTGTATAGCGGGTGGGCGTGGCATCACTACTGGCGCCCTGCTTCTCCTGCTGCTTGATAAACGCCTTGAATTGCTCGGCATTCCCCTTGAGCCCCGTGAGCAGACTCTGCTGCGTGGTGGAAATGTCCACAGTTGGGGTGCGGGCGCAGAGGCTTTGCAGCGTGAGGCAGAAAATTAATCCGTTGATAGCCGAACGGGATGCGCTGCGGGATCGCCGCCAGAAGGCCGACAGCCAGCTGAAGAGTATTCAATTGGACATGCTGCAATTGAGCGAGGACAAGAATCTCAAACAGGAATGTGATCGGCTGAAGGAGGACAACTGGTGCATGTCCACGAAACGGGAGACAGCGGATGCGATCCGCCTGGAGCTGGATCGGCACCAAGGCCTCTTGGTGGCTGCCCAAACGGAGGTGGATCGACTGACCCAACCGCACGCAGAGACCTCACACGAGAAGGATGTGCTCAGCTACGAGCTGCAGCAGCAGCGCGAACAATTCGCCAAGCTCAAGCAAAGTCTACAGAGCGTCCAGTTCAATGCAGAGCAGCAGGCCAAAAGGCTGGCGTCGGAGAAGAACAGTCCTTGTTCACATCCACATAGTGTTCCTTTAGGATTTTTGCCTGCCTCTTATTGATCTTCTGCAGCCTGCTCATTTGAATCTCAGCACTGCGAATTTCAGCCAACTTCTCCGCACAGCTACTGCAGTTCTCTGGCTCACATTTCGCCTGCAACTGCTGCAGCTCGCTCTGCAACTGAGAGGGCCTCTTCTTCTTAGAGCTGAGAGGGTCAACTAGCTAGTAATATTAAACTGAGTATCAAAATCATGGATTACGATTTCAATCAATAAAATAGAACGTAATTTAACATATTTACGCATTACAGGTGATGGATGTCGGCAGCAATCGAAGGATCTACCGGACACTGCGCGAGGAGAAGAAGTGGGCGGAGCAGTGGAATTCCCAGCTGGAGTCCAAGCTGAAGCAGCTGCTCCAGTGCAAGCAGCTCAATGAAAAATGTGCCCATAGCGGCGAGCTGCTGTATAGGAAACAGATCGCCTTCGACAAAATCACAAAGCGATACAACGCCCTGGAGTCGGACTTTGAGGTCATGCTGCTGGAGAAGGAGGTCAAGATACATGAGCTGAAGGGCTCGCTCGAACTGGCCCAGAGTCAGTACATCAAGCTGCCGGAGGCAAGGCGGGCGACCTTGGAGCACAGCAATGCCCAGCTGAATAGCCACATGGAGGGGACCCTGGCTGAGCTCAGTTCGCTCGATGATCTTTTGCTCAAGATTAATATGACTCGCGTGGGCCTCAGTCGCGCTGATCGCAATGGCCAACTCAATGAGGAGCTGCCTCGGGCTATGGGCAGTCCCCAAAGCCAGACAGATGATTTTATCAATCTGCAGAAGCAACTGGACGAGCGGAAGAAGGAACTGCTCCTGCTTCGTGAGCAGGAGCAGGAGGCACTACGTACCGTGGCTACATTGAGTGAGGAGAAAACGCGACTGCAGCTGCGCCTTGTGCAAATAGAACAGAAATGGGGCGCAGTGAAACAAAATTTGGCCACAAGCTATTCGCAGCTACAGCTGAAAATTAATCTGTTGATAGCCGAACGGGATGCGCTGCGGGATCGCCGCCAAAAGGCCGACAGCCAGCTGAAGAGTATTCAACTGGACATGTTGCAATTGAGCGAGGACAAGAATCTCAAACAGGAATGTGATCGGCTGAAGGAGGACAACTGGCGAATGTCCACGAAGTGGGAGACAGCGGATGCGCTCCGCCTGGAGCTGGATCGGCACCAAGGCCTCTTGGTGGCAGCGCGAACAATTCGCTAAGCTCAAGCAAAGTCTACAGAGCGTCCAGTTCAATGCAGAGCAGCAGGCCAAAAGGCTGGCGTCGGAGAAGAACAGTCTGCAGAGCGAGCTGCAGCAGCTACAGTCTACTTTCAAACGAAGTAAACTAAACAACTTGAAAAACTCGAAAAAGCGTAAAATATAATCTAAAACCTGCAACAAGATGAAGTTACGCTACAACAAAAACCTGACTGTATCTCCATTCTCGCAATCCTCTGTGCCCACTGTTCAAGTGGTGTCGGATATCAAGCATCCAGCCTCCATCGAAGAAATTTTTGATGTGATTAACTTGAAGTATAAGCACATGACTAACGATTTTCACTTTTCGCGCAGTGTCCGGTAGATCCTTCGATTGCTGCTTCTCCTGACAGGCTCGCTTCAGCTGCTGCTCCATGCTGACGCACGTTTCTGCTCCTCCTCCAGCTTCTTGCGTGTTTCTGCGGCCTGCTGGGCCATGTTGTCCTGCTCGGGCGACTTCGATTTTACCATCTTCTTGAGCTTGTGTATCTGTGCCTGCTGCTGGAATCCCTGGAATATCCAACAGCGAATTGCTTATCGAATAGCTGGTGGTCCCCTCTTCTTCATCCTCCAAGTCAAAGAAAACGGCCTTGAACCCCTCATCCAGCAACTCGCTACCTTCTGACCTTCTGACCTGGGGCGCCGCACTCTTGTCCGGTTGTCCGCTCGTGTCGCTCATTAGCTACTAAAGTGTTAAAATTATTTAGTACGAATTTAATCTTATTTTAAATTTATTTCGTACCGCTTCAATTTTGTAGTGTGTAGTTGACTCTAGGTTGTGGATTCGGTCACGAATCTGACTAACTGAATATTCTCAGTCGAATTTGTTGCTCAAGGCTACTGGCCAGCCTGCTGGGTTTCCTCTGCTAAACGTATAAAAAGTTGTGACGCCCAGCTCGACCCAGCGCCAAGCGTCACAAAAACAACAACATTCCGCGGAGTATTATGACATTATTATTTCATTATTCATTATTCATTATTATTCATTATAACCGTTACTTAGACTTAAGAGAAACAACATGAAGATTAATTTTTTTTTTTTTTTTGATTAGATCATCGCATGGATGACTGGATTTTGATCGCAGCTACGTAGCCACATTGATCAGGTACTTGTTGTCGAGTTACATGTGCAAGACATGTTCTCATGTAAATTTCTTCGATTTTTTTAACTTGTTAACCGATATTTTGCTTATGTTCAGAACGTTTATTACAGTCTTGTATCTTTTGTTTTTTATAAATTCTCGAAATTTTGATTTTATCCAGAAAGTTTATTCCAGTCTTGTCTCTTTTGTTTTTTGTAAAATTGTTTTTATAAATTCTCATAAATCGAGAATTTGATTGATATTGTGCGTTTTCTTTTTAACCATCAAGCATGGCTTAAAAACTCCCTGTGAGCGAGCTTGACAGGTAGTGTATTATCTGATCATAAAAAGCTATTTGATCTTTTATTTACTCTACGTTTACTTTAAAAAGTGATACAAGTTTATAACTAGAAGTCGAAGTTAGCCTTATTCATGAAGATAGCCAGTTCTCTTAGATGTAAAGGCTCTTTCTTTTTAAGTAATTCTCTTAGGCTTTTGTAATATTTGAAAATACGAAACTTACCCCTGAGGTTGGCGAAACGTTGGCATTCGAATATTAAATGTTCAGCATGTTCTACTATTTTACATTCCTCACACATATCGGAGTCTATCGCTTTGATTTTTAACAAAAAGGGTTTGTCATAAGTGTGTCCAGTCATTAGTCTGTTAATTGTTTTAATACTTTTCGCCTTCCACTTACACTTGTGGTGCCATGGTTTTTTGGGTATTTCCGGGAAATAATCAGCTAAAATAGTACCCTTACTTCTACAGTTTTGCTTGTAATCTTCGTTCCACATATTTACTATTTCATTTTTTGTTTCTCTTAGAGCTTCTTTTGTACTAAAAAGTGTGTATATCATTTCCCCTTCTGTAGTAGCTCTTTTTGCTACTTTGTCAGATTTTTCATTTAACTTAAACCCTTTGTGTCCTGGTACCCAAATAATGTCTAGTTTTTGAACCTCTGATATGTCTATTATGTTATGTATTTCACTAACTATGTAAGAGTCAGTTAGCTTATGATTAATTAACTTAATTGCACCAAGCCCGTCACAAAATATCACAGCTTTTCGATATTTGTTTCTCAAACATATCTCACTAGCCTTCTTGATTCCAATCAGCTCCGCCCCCACTGATGAGAGCCTAGTTTCCGTTCTGTACTTATACATATTGTTGCTTGGAAATTCTACAATACCTATGCCAACCGTATCGTGCACTACTGATGCATCCGTTGACAGAATTTTCCAACCTTCTTTGATATATTTGTCCTGTATTTCTACATAAATCGCTCTTATCTCCTCTTCCGAGTATTCCTCTTTTTTTTTAACTAGGACCTTTTCTACTATATTTATTTTAGGACAAGGCTTGAAGTTGTCGCAAATGCGTGTATTATCAAAGAAACTTTTGAATTCTTTTAAAGTTTTGGTATAACTAGTTTCTGCTTTAGACAATTTTAGTTCTTCAAACATCCTTGGATTTATATTCTTAATTTTAAAGAGTTCTTTAACAGTCAGCCATTTTGCCCTGAAACTAGGGGGCATCACTCCCGCTAATGCAAAAATTTCATGCTTGCTGGTATCAGGTGGTACTCCGACACATCTTCTTAAAACTCTGGCTTGAGCAATCTCCATGTTTTTCCTTGCTCCCACTCCCATATCTGCAAAGCTTGTGATCGCATATTCTTGCTTAGATCTTACAAATGATTTAAAAATGTTAACACTTATTTTAGGTTTTAGTCCTGCCTTGATCGTTGTAGCCATCTGCAGAATCCTACAGCTCTTTTTTTTATCATCTTTAACCATTTTCACATGGCTAGTGCATGACATATTGACATTAATCAATCTGCCTAGAAACTTTTCTTACATTTTTATACCCGTACTCAAAAAAGAGTTAAGGGGTATATTAGATTTGTGGTAAAAGTGGATGTGTGTAACGCAGAGAAGGAAAATTTTCCGACCCCATAAAGTATATATATTCTTGATCAGCATCAATAGCCGAGTCGATAGAGCCATGTCTGTCTGTCCGTCTGTCCGTCTGTCCGTCTGACCGTCTGTCCGTCTGTCCGTCTTGTTTGACGCCTGGATCTCAGAGACTATAAAAGCTAGAGGAACCAAATTTTGTTTCCAGACTCATGTGATATCACACTGCTACAAGTGTATTTCAAAATTTCGCCCCGCCCCCTTCCCCTCCCACAAAGGACGAAAATCTGTGGCAGGCACATTTTTAAAGATACGATAAAACTAAAAACGCAGTATCGTAGAGAATGGCCATATCTACCAGATTGCCGAATCTGAATCAGATCGGATCATAATTATAGCCAAAATGAAGAAATTAATTTTCAGTTGCTTCCCCTCCCCCTCCCGCCACCGACAACGCAAATCATTTTCCTTCTCGCTCGCACACTCTGCCGCGTTCAGTGCGCAAGCAACCCCTAGCGGAGGAGATGTATAATCTAAATGGTACATGTACAATCTACATGTTAGATGTAGAATAGACATTGTAGATGAGATGTAGATAACAAATGTAGCAAAAAAATGTAAAATGTAAAATTTTTTTTTTTTCTAAAATTCTAAAAAATCATAAGCTCAAAAATGTATATACTGACTGAGTACGGGTATAAGTAGAGTCGCGTCCCCAGAAGCGACTCACACGTTCCTTCTCGTTTATTTGGTATTTGTACATTGTCTATTGCAATGTTTATTATATTGTTTCTCTCTCTTCCCATGTACAAGACCGCCGACTTGCTTGGGTTAAAACTGAAACCAAGATCACCGCAAAGTAGATTAAAGTCTGCTAGCTTGTTCTGCAAGTTGGTAACAGCTGCCATAAAATTTTGGCAATGGGAAATAATGACAAAGTCATCTGCAAATTGTATTATTTGTGTTTTGGAATCATTTATTTGGTGTAGTCTTTTTGTGTAAATATTGAATAACAGTGGTGATAGGCAGGACCCCTGTGGTAGGCCGCCCTGCACCACCTCCACCGCATCCTCCATTTTTAATAGCCTTATTGCTAAAAAACTTATGATCCAGTCTATATAAGTTCTGGGAAGTCCTTCACTTTCCATCAACATTTTTAGGGAGTTAAGGTTAACACAGTTGTACGCGTTATTCAGATCCACTGACGCTAATATTACATGTTCCTTGTTTTTTTTCCTGGAGGCAATAAAATTTATTACATCATTGATGCACATTGAGGCCGATTTGTTTTTCTGGTAAGCGTAAGATCTATACGGTATTATACCATTTTCACTTGTGTAACCTTCTATTTTGTTTTTTATAATACCGTTTACAGTTTTTGCCATGACTGATATTAATGATATAGGCCTGAAATTTCTTATATTTGTAAGGTCTTTGTCTCTTTTCGGTATTGGAGTTATTTTTATAGTTCTCCACTCCACTGGAAAATCACAGTTGGCTATTTTTTTATTGTAAAAATTTACTAACTCTGTCTTTGCCTCGCTGTTCAAAGCGTTTAACATCTCGTACGTAATTTGGTCTAAGCCTCCAGCTGTTTTCCTGTTTCTACCTAGCACCTTTTCAAGGTCTTCTATGGTAAACTCTGGACTTTCGTTGTTCTTGAGCGCGTACATAGTATCGTCTATAATTCTGGCCTCAACAGGTATTTGCTCCTTTAGGAATTGCAAACACTCCCCCGCTTTCTCTGGATCAAATTTTTCTAGTGTATCTGTATTGCAATTTTTAAAATTTTTTAGAAACCTCCACGCTTCTCTACTGTTAGATTTTATGTTTATTTCTGTTATTTTGCGAGCATAGCTTGTTTTTTTTGCTATTCTTACTGCTTTTTTCCATTTTCCTTTTAAATCAACAGCTCTGCAGTAATTTTGAAAAGACGGTTCTTCGTTAGCTTTTTTTTGAGCCTCAG